TCCCAGCTACTACGGAGGCTGAGGCAGGAGAATCTGCTTGAACCTGGGGGCAGAGGTTGTGGTAAGCCGAGATGTGAAAACCCCTCTCTATTAAAAATACAGTGCACTCCAGCCTGGGAGACACAGCAAGATCCTGTCTCAAAAAAAAAAAAAAAAAAGGAAGGAAAAAAGAGTCATGTTCATAAAAGTCAAAATGGTGTTCACCTTTCCATGGATGGGGGTTGCGGCAGGGAAATGGTGGTGTATGGAGTGGATACTGTATTGACCGCAGAGGAACATAAGGAAAGTTTCTAGCATGCTGGAAATGTTTTCTACCTTGAGCTGGTATTATGTACTAAGTATTTGTGTCTCCTCAAAATTCCTATGTTGAAATCTAATCCCCAGTGTGATTGTATTAGGAAGTGGGCCCTCTAGGAGGAATTAGGTCATAAGGATGGAGCCCTCAGAAATGGGATTAGTGCCCTTATAAGAAGGGACATGACAGAAATGATCTTTCTCTCCCCTCTGTGAGGCCACAAGAAGACACTAGCTGTAAACCTAGAAGGAGGTCTTCACCAAGAATCTAACCACTTTGGCATCCTGATCTCAGACTTCCAGTCTTCAGAACTGTGAGAAAGAAACGTTTGTTGTTTCAACCACTCTTTATAGTATAGTTATAGAAGCCTCAGCTGACTAAGACCACAGTGATGTGGTCACCTGGGCACCCACAAATGTAAAAGTTGATTGAGTTGCGCATTTCAGATGAACGCTTTTTTAGCAGTTTACTGTGTGTTTGTTAAATTTCAATAAAAAGGTAAAACTTGGCGGGGTGCAGTGGCTCACAAATGTAATCTCAGCACTTTGGGAGGCTGAGGCAGGTGGATCATCTGAGGTCAGGAGTTTGAGACCAGCCTGATGAACATGGTGAAACCCTGTCTCTACCAAATACAAAAAATTAGGCAGGAGTGGTGGTGTATACCTATAATCCCAGCTACTTGGGAGGCTGAGGCAGGATAATCGCTTGAACCTGGGAGGCAGAGGTTGCACTGAGCTAAGATTGCACCACTGCACTCCAGCCTGGGCAACAAGAGCAAAACTCTGTCTCAAAAAAAAAAGGTAAAAATCTAGCCGCTCCACTTTTAGCACTTTACTGTGTGTATGTTAAACTTCAATAAAAAGATAAAAGTCTGGCTGGGCGCGGTGGCTCATGCCTGTAATCCCAGTATTTTGGGAGGCCAAGGCGGGTGGATCACCTGAAGTAAGGAATTCAAGACCAGCCTGACCAACAGGGTGAAACCCCATTTCTACTAAAAATACAAAAATTAGCCAGGTGTGGTGGTGGGCACCTGTTATCCCAGCTACTCAGGAGGCTGAGGCAGGAGAGCGGCTTGAACCCGCGAGGCAGAGGCTGCAGTGAGCCAAGATGGTACCACTGCATGCCAGCTTGGGTGGCAGAGCAAGATTATCTCAAAAAAAGAAAAGGTAAAAATCTTTCTGCCAATGTGTCCCTTTCCCTGCCCCCAACCACGACTGCCATCACATTGAAGCAGAGGGTCTAGAGAGAGGTGGGATAAAGTGGTAGGCTGAGTGCAGCACAGTTAATACCCAGAGGGCTTCCTGATTCTCTTAATCCATATCCCTCACTTAGCTGAGCCCAGGGCTGTACCACCGCCCTGCCTTTAGGAGCCCAGTAAGGACTTTCCACAGGCCATCCGCAATGTCCGTCTTCACACTGAGGTTTGCCTTAGCCTCTGTCTCGCCTATGTGGATAATCCCCACCTTAAATCATCCTAGGGCAGGAAAAAGGCAGAGAGGAGGAGGAGGATGCCCTAGGAGAGGAGGTGATGGAGGTGGGAGGGCGCAGAGACTGAAAGCTCAAGAAATTCCTAAGCAAAGACAGTGATTAAATACGCTCCATTACAGAGCGGGGAGAAGATACGTAAAAGTCTTGAAAGATGTAAAAGGTAAAAATCGACCAGGCGCAGTGGCTCATGCCTGCAATCCCAGCACTATGGGAGGCAGAGGCGGGTGGATTACCTGAGGTCAGGAGTTGGAGACCAGCCTGGCCAACATGGCGAGACCCCCGTCTCTACTTAAAAAAATACAAAACATTAGCCGGGTGTGGTGGCGGGTGCCTGTAATCCCAGCTACTCGGGAGGCTGAGGCAGGAGAACGGCTTGAGCCCAGGAAGTGGAGGTTGCAGTGAGCCGAGATCGCGCCACTGCACTCCAGGCTGGGTGACAAAAGTGAAACTCCATCTCAAAATAAATAAATAAATAAATAAAAATAAAAGATATACTCCAGAATATGGTGGAATTATGGCAGATTTTTATTTTTGCTTGTGTGTATTTTCTAAATGCTTTATAACAATTCTGTATTACTTTTGCAATAAGAAAAATAAAATGTTTTGAGCTTCACAGTACTTAAACTACATGCCCTGGTAAGAAGGGCACAGTACTCAACAGCTCCCAACATACCACATTCCATCTTCATCTTTGGTAACCTGCCCTGGTCTTAGGTGATTTCAGGTCAACCCAATTCACAATCATCTATGACGATCTTAGGTCATGTATCACTTTAAGACTGTGCAAAAGACATTATTTTGCTGGGAGTTCATTTCTTCATAACACATAACAAATGACTAAAGAGGTAGCCAAGAAAGAAAATATGCCCGGGCACACACATGAGCGGAGTGTGCTGGATTCTCTGCAGCACCGCACAACAGGCAGGCCCTGGGCACAGAGCTGTGGAGGAGGGAGTGGGA